CATACAAACCCCCCCCCCCCCCCCCCCCCCCCCCACACCCTCTTAACCCCCTGAAGAAACGTGAAGTTCGATCTGGATGGAATTCAGTAACATTTAATGAGAGTTTTTTGAAATTTTTGGGAATTGATTGAGAATCCATGTATAATTGGAGGACTTATTTGAAGTTTACCATATATATGGTAAACTTCAAATAAGTCCTCCAATCATACTGAGTTGTGCAAAAGTTACTTTAAGTAAATATATTCCATGACCAAAAGATTACTCCAAAATCCATAATCATAATCATATTATCTTTCTTTTTTTATTTTTTTTATAAACCTATTTTAATTAATTAATGAAAATCCATCCTCGAGAACAAAAGAGACAATAAGCATGCATCATCTTATTAGCACATTCCATATTTTAAACAGCAAACCAAAGAGAAATTATTTTGAATTAAATAAACTTACATTGGAGAAACAAAAAGCAGTAAAGAAATTATATTACCTGCAAAAAAAAAAAAGAACGAAAACCCATGAATCTAATTAAGAGGGAATAAATCTCATAATTAAGAAAAGAAAGGAAACTAACCAATGATGCCAACAAAGAAGCTCAAGCTAGCCATGAATAATGCAATGGATCGAAGAGAAGTTCTTGAAGGTATGAAGACACAAAGAAGTAAGCTTTCTATATGCACTTTCTTTAGCATATTAAGCTCTAGATTTTTGCCACGTTTTCACTCAATGTGATTAGTTGCATGTAAATTTTGATGATAATCATAATATCAAGTGGACCTGCATCTTTATACAACATCATTTCGTGTCTTTTCATGTTTTTTGTGCTCGAAATTAGAATGTTTGTGTCCTAATGTCGAATGATTTCTACTTTTTTAAAAGGAGCTTGATTTGATAATCCGTGTGCGTGGTGGTATAGTTTGGGGGTGGTGCCTAATTATTCTGGAAAAATAGGTCGGTTCTAATCTCATACCTTCCTCCATTATTTGACAAGAAAACTTGCCGACATGAAAATAGTGTAATTCCTGTTTTGGAATAAAAGATGAAAACAATAAATTTATTATGAAAATATAAAAAATTAATTTAAAATTATTTCAATCAAATACATTTACTTATATCTCTTTTTATATTTGTTGTTTTTATTGAGAAACATTAACTAAACACAACTCATTAGTTTGGTTGTAATTAATCATATAGTTTAGTGTGTGTTTTTTTATTTAGATATTTTAGAATTTTGAACCATTAAGCTGGGAATGAAGCTTGTATGGTAGAGTTAATGCATGGCACAGTTTGGGCATCATGTCCAAGCTCAATTTCTACATTGCCAAATGCTTTAATTTTGATACTTTAGATTCCTTTTGATTTCACTGTAATTATACCAAGTAAAAAAAAATTTTAAGCTAATTATACCAAATAATATTGAAGTTTTATCCTAATTAATTTCCTCCTATTTTACTATATGCTATAATAAATTTTATGTGTCTAAGAGACATGCAAAACACTTTCTAGCATATTGACATTAACCTTTTTTTATTCCAAATTTTGCTTGTATTCTTTAATATTTCTCTTCTTCTCTTTCCCATTACCTTGTTCCTTCATATAACATATAAACCTCTTTAAACCACTCTTTTTTAAGGTTTTTTTAAAAAAAAAATTAAAATCTTGCTTTTTTCTCATAATTTAAATTAGTGTTTATTGCAATATTAAAGATGATCAGAAGCGGCTTTGGTATATGATTTTAATTTTTTTGGAGAGTATTTTAGGGTGAAAGTATATTTATATATGTGTAGGTACATGAAAGTTATTTTAGAGAACTAGTTTTTGAATGATTGCTGGATAATATATGAACCTATATTGCCTATAAAAACTTTCCTCCATTCCACACGTCAAAGACTTTATGTCCTTTCTGTTTTTTCTTTTGGTTTTCAAGGTCGTGAATGTGCATGAATCTTGTCGATGTAAATTAGGAAACCAAGCCGTGGAAATTTTTATGCGATGGACAATAATTAAGCCTTCTCTTTCGAACTTCTGTTGTGGATAATGATGAGTAAAACCAAACATACCGTCCACTACATCTTTGCATTACCATCATCTCTAGTTTGAATTCCACTTGATTTTTTTTCTTTCGTTTTCTATTTTTTTCCCTTTTGATTTAACCCTTTTACGGCATAATTAAATGAAATTAGGCTTTAAATTGTGGAAATAATATTAAATTATAAGTTTAAGAACTAAAAAGTAAAATATTTGAGTTTAGTGATCAGTTGAATCCAAAATAAATATAAATCTAACAAATATATCAAGCCTAAAATATCTAGATTTAAATATTACCGAGTTTTATAACTATGTAATGAATCCAAGATAATCTCTTAAATTAAAAGTAATCCAAAGCAAACATAAATTTAACAAACATGTCAAGCCTAAAATATCTAGATTTAAATGTTATCGAGTTTTATAATTATGTGATGAACCCAAGATAATCTCTTAAATTAAAAGTATTATAAATATAATAAATTCTTATACCTCTCAATATAGAACAATAATACGATTAATTAATTCATATTCAATGTAATAATTTTTCTGTATTCATGTGCATACAAAATGTCTCTTAATAAATTTACTATACTTATTTATGATATGTAAAAAATATTTATTTTTTATTAATATCACTGAAAATAAAGAATTTTTTAGTCATTTGACTCTCTGAAAAAGAGAAGGTTCACGAGGTATAAATACTTTCTAGATCATCCAAGTAAAGGTTCAAAATTTTTTATCTCTTAAGATAAACTAATATAGATTAAAAAAGCATTAATAATTTTAAAACTTAAGAAACAATGTTTTTTTCTTTGAATTTAAGTTTTTTAAAGTCATTTATTGTCTTTCTCATAAAAAAACTAACATTATTATTGGATAATTTTTAAGTTTTTTTAATTGAGATTGTTTTCATAGTTACTCAAACTTTTACTATTAGTTTGATGTTCCTTAATCTAAAGAGAAAAAATCTAGTTATCTAAATATATTAATTAATCATTATCTCAAATATTAAATAGCCTATTTTTTATATATACTAGATTTTGAAACATCTTCAATCTTGATTATGTAGAAATATATTAATAGATTTATATCAATGGATTAATTTACTAATTAACATGTAATAATAATAAGATTTAAATTTGTGATTTTTTTGTTATTAAAATTTTGTTATTATTTTAAATAAGTATATTAACTCAAAAACTTAAATTATTTAAAATGAAATCTCAATAAAAATTTTACATTACATCCTTTCTAAATATATAAATATATCTGCATCATGACATTGTGGGGCATGGTGTTGATCATTACCGTTAAAATAATATAAATGAAAGAGGTTTTTTTTTTAGAAGGGAAAAAGAAGCATAGAGAGGTCATAACACATAAAAATTGGCACACAGAAAGATCATAAATAATCACCCTGTTTTTTTCTCCATTGAAGAATAAATGAGAAGGAGTGTAACAAAGATTAAGTTTTATATATATATATAAACTTAATATCTAATAAAATACATATTAAAAGATAAAAAGTACAAAAATAAGTTTTAATGAACCGGTAGGTTAATTTCTCAAGCTGTAACCTGTAAAAATTTAAATATAAGTTTAATTAAAAAATTTTAAATTTAAATTAATTCAATATTAAAAATAAAATTGAATATAAAAAATTGAAAAATAAAAATTAATAATAAAAAATAAGGATAAAATTTGAATGGAAAAAAAGATAAATCACTAAAAAAATTAAATTATAAACATGAAAACTGCTGTTGTTACCTTAATTTATTCATTTGTTATAATACTCTGTTAATTTAGTTTTTTTTTTATTATTACATAGGCCCACCATCATTTGTTTATTGTCTGATGAGGCTTGCGGTGCAGGCCTTCTCCTTCCCTCGACAAGTTAGCAAAGGCTTCTTCTTCTTTTACTTGTAGCTCTTTCCTTTTTTAAGACCCCTTGTATTGTCAGCTCCCTGGCTCGGTGTTCTTGTATTTTGGCTTCTATTTTTTAACTAGTCTATTTAGTTTAGCCTCTGCTTTGACAGCTCCTGTTAATTTCTATTGATTTATATGTTATGATTGCATGGATACTGACATATAAATCTAATAAAATATAAAATATAAAATAAAATAAAATAATATAAAATAAAATATATATTAGGTTGTGTTTATTGCAAGTACAAAAGAATTTTCTTAATAATTTAAGAATTACAACCTCTCTCGGATAATATAAGAATAACTAAAAATCTTTCTATTAATAAAAAAAATATCTTATTTACTCTCTCATAAATATCTCATAATTTTATGAGATTATTCTTTCTTTACTTTCATTTTTTTTTTTTTATCTTGATGTGTAAAATAATTTTAGTGTCATTAATTATTTATAGACAAGAATGAAGAATAAAAATCATAAATCATGACACCAATTATATCACAAATTATACCAACAACTTATTTTCACTTATACTCCATTAATTATACCAATAACTACATCAATTATATCAACAATTTATTTTTAATTATATTAACAGCTACACTTATTTTTATCTCCATTGATTACATGAATTTAATTAATTTAATTAAGTGATGGCTTTGCAATGATGCTCTCTTGATTTATATTATTGTTTTTGGTTACAGGGAGCCGCCGCCGCCATTTGTTTGTTGTCTACTGAGGCTTGAGGGGCAGGGCTTCTCCTTCCCTCTTCAGGTTTGCTAAGGCTTCTTTTCTTTTCCTTTCTTTTCACAGCTCGTTTCCTTTTTTATTCCCTTTGCACTGTCAGCTCCCTGCCTGATGTTTTTGCAACTTGGCTTCCACTTTTTAAACAGTCTATTTAGTTCTATTTGCCCCATGATTTCTCGATTACATTCAAGTAAGGTGGCATTCAGCTAGGCTAACATTTATATAGTCTTATTTCTTGAAATTGTTGGTTGTCCAAACACGTGCGCGTGAAAGTTATTGCCATTCTTAAACATTTTCTGAAGTGATGCAACTGGGTTTCATGAATTATTGCAACTATTCGAGTTTGAAGGATTTCATGGCATTTGCTGTCTGTTGATGCAGAAAGGATGACTGTGTGTTACGTTGTAGCAGAAAGAATCAACACTTTTCTTGCCTAGGTTTCCATTACATTATAGTTCAGAGTATTGAAAATTATAAACTTTCAGTAATTTAGGGAATACTAGAAGTGACAATCTCCTAAAGTTTATTGGATGTTTGTGGCTTCACAGGTTGGAGAAAAAAATGAAAATAATAACATTAAAAAGAATTGTCAGTCAAAGTAATCAAAGGGCAATGAAAGATGAATTGAATTTTTTCCCAAATTGGCCATGAGATATTGGTCAAATTACAAAGATTTTACTGTTTGGGGACTAACTCTGGATATTAAAGCAATATAAAGGACTAAGAAAACCAGTGAAGCTGATACACTTGAAAAGGCAAGCATGCACGAAAGATTAAGCTTCCAGTCCTGGGAAAGGAAGGGGAAAGATTGAATCTAGCTATAATAATGGCTTGGCATTGTTTTGCCGCAACTAAGAAAACCAGTGAAGCTCACACACTTGAGAAGGCAAGAATGCACGGGAGATTAATCCGTAATAATAATGGAGCGGCATGGTTTTGCTGCAAATTCAGCACTATCAGTGTTCATATTTCCTGATCAGATGTTAATAGCTTTCAATTATACTTCTTGCTCTTCTTTTAGGTAAGAGAATATAAGATATTTTTGCAGAGAAGTATAACAAGAGAGGGGCAAAACTACTTATAAAAGGTTTTGAAAACTAACTGGACGCTATAGCCTATTGTAAGCAAGCAAGAAGAGGAACCTGCTCTGTATGCAGATATTGGATATGTTGCATTGTATGAATATGGAACAATGGATGGGCTGTGAGATGACTTTACAAGCTATAATAATGTGCCTTGCTTGCTGACTTCCATGTCATCTCCTTCTATGTCCCGTTAATTGCTTCTTCTTTTTACACTTTCTCAGCAGGCTTGCGGAGCTGCAACCACCGGCTTTCTCATACTGTTCTCTCGCCTGCAAAACTTTGGCAGCTTAGGCCCCCAAAATTGTCATCCGCACACTTATTTTCGAGGGTTTCATAGGTTTGTTGTGCTTCTTTCTCTTGTTAATCCACTAAATCTTGTACTGTTCTAATTTTTCCCAAAAGAATTAATATAATTCTCGACTGCGATAGCATGAAACTTGGAGATATTAATCTAATTCTCAATTGCTCACACAGTCCTCACAACTTGAATTGCAGCTGCAACAGAGCACAAAGAAACTGATTACTTTTAACTGAGACCATTCAATACGCCCAGAGAAATGGTAAATTAAATAAAGGATCAGATGATGAGAAACTTTGTCATTCTTCCATGCTATGTTTAACTACACATGCCCGCATTACACATCTCTCACACATTCTTTCTCTGTTTATCATAATTTAATTCATTGTTTCCCCGTCGCAGGGAAACTGGCACTTTCTCTACTCACGAGTTGGATTTTGATTTCTGCAACAAGAAGATAACTGCTACCTCTGCAATTTTGACATAATTCGCAAACAACACTGCCCTTTAAGTGCCTTGCGGCCCATCGCTTTGTTTGCACTTTTATTTTGATGCAATAATGAAATGCTGATAGGTTTAAAAAAGTGAAGCAAGCTCCATGTGGGAAGATCAAAGTCTACACGCATGCATCAAGCTATCTGCTTCCTTCTGCATATTCCATATTATGTAAACAGTTAAACATTATTTTTCATGGTTTTAAAATACTTACATTGAGCAGCAAAAACCATCATATAAATGATATTACCTGCAAGAGCAAATTGAAAAGGGCCGAAAACCCATCAAGCGAAGAAATGTGTTTGATATATTGATTTGGACATTTTGATCTTTTAATATCAATCACAAGATTTTTGTACTGATGTTGCGATAATAAAGGCATGGGGACCAACATTTATTGTCCTGAACAAGAATTCTGTGTTATATAGTTTTAGTATAGAGATTCTTATTATTATATATTTTTTACATTTTTATTTTATTTTGTTTTGTTTTTTAGATAAATTTCTTTGAAATTCAATTTCAATCAACAAATAAAAATTAAACAACACTAAAGTAAGGGCCTAGATATCGCGGCTTTCGGCAATTTTTAATATTAAGTGGCTTTTCATCCAAAAACAAAATCTTGAAGTAGTGTTTGGTATCAATTAAAAGTCAACATCACATCTCACTCCACACATGGTTTTATAGCTACCTTTAATAAAAGCTACAGTTTGTAGCTTTTAATACAACTGCTATTTACTTTTATTAATGGTTTTTAATTACCTTTATTGAAATAAAATAAAATTGGTTGATGAAACTCTACAAGTACTATGCTTCCATTTAATAAATGTCATCCCATGCTCCCATTTAATAAATATCATCCCTTGCAAATTTATTGCATTCACAGTCCGAATTGTTTTAATACCATTAACAATTTTTTTGTAAATTAAGATGGATGTTTTAATCAACTAGTATGGATGTCGATTAATTTCACAAATTCTAAAATTAACAATCATATAAAATTTTAATAACTTTAAAATTTATGATACTTACATGGATAACCCCTAAAAAATAAACCTAAAACTTATCAATTAATGTATATCTCTCATAGTTATTATTAACAAATCTTCTTCTCATTAAAGTTTGCACCATTATTTTTCCTTTTCAACTAATAAAAAAAACAAATCATCTCCTGATTTCATACTAATTGATATATTTCTAGATGTTATTGACATCTTTTCTCAAAAACTTCAAGATAAAAATGATATTTCTTGAATATATGAGAAATATAGGCAATCAGAATTGAAGGTTCTTCGTGACAATATTACTTTTATTTTAATAAAAAAATATTAATTAAATATGTAACACTTATTATTTTAATTTAACTATATTAAATTAATGATATGCTATCAAAAATATTTTTTATTAAGATTGACTTTAAATGAAATTTTGATTTCATATTTACTTTTAATTTTACATTGCGATGTGCGTATTAACACATAAAAATAACAAATATACTTTTTTTTCATGTGTTTTTTTTAGTAATTTTAATAATAAAAGCCTTTTTTTCACAATCATGTTTACCAAACACTATATAAAATCTTTTCAATCAAAAAGCACTTATCATGAATATTATTACCAAATTAACACCTTTTCAAAATAAGTATACCCATTTTTACAGCTACCTACAGCTAAAAGCTACAGTTTTTTAAATTAAAAAAAAATGCTATAAAAAATAAACTAATATACGTAAATCATCAAATAAATGATTACACACACATACTTGTCTACGTATGTCCCTAACTCGCTATAAAATTTCTATTGAAAATCTCTTTCAATATTCTACTCGTCAAAAATGCAATTGACGTCCCTTTCTTCTATGCTTTTTGGGCAGAGGTGCATTTATAAAGAAAAGATTGCTGGGGTGGGTCTCATATGTCTTTCATTTATATATATATATATATATAGGGAGCCTGTGTGTGGAGATTTTGGGTGTGATGTGGACGCTAACCGTTCTTTTTATCAGCTTGTAATTTGGATAACGATTTGACCAGAATCAAACCTACCGTCCACTGTCTCAATCGTTGCATTATCTTAATGTAAACGGAGTTAAGAATATAAAAATTTATCATAGGTAGTTTTTATAGTTTTAGTTTGAAAAAATAAATTTTAAAGATAATATATATTATATTTTTAAAAAAGGTTTAAGAGAGTTTCTGATAAAATCTATATAAATTAGTATTACATTAAAAAATAAAAGCATTAAATTAAATGGAATTAGAGCGAAGCACAAACTGCACATCGAATTAAAAATAGTTATCCAAACGGTGTTGTTTTATGAAGATAGATGATGCTACATGCCATCATCATCAAGAGTGATCTTCAATTTTCTCATAATTCTAGATAGATATCAAACGGCATCATTGGCCCAGCTTGAATGTTGCAATAACTCATAAGCACCTATAGAGAGTGTCTTGGTGAGCTTTTGCAAGCTGTGTTGCCTATCAACCGATGGCTTTGGCAGGCTATTGGTCTTTCCCTCGGCTAGGCTTCTGCTCTTCAGATTGCCAGCAGCTTCCACATCATTATCACCCTTCGCAGGCATCTCGACGCCCTCCTTCGCCTCGATGTGGACTGGGCCTTTTTCTTCAATCATAGCTGCTGACTTATTCCTGTAGATTATGTAAAGGATCAATTGGGCTGACCCCAGTACAAAACCAACAACGTTCGGCACCTGAAATCGAACACAGTAACAAAGGTTAGGTTTAAGACATCTGATTCAAGGGATCATGATTCTTTTAAAGTGCCTCTTTCAAGGCCACTAGGCAATCTTGGGACTAGATCAATGAAAAATAAGGTAACTTACTCCGATGTAATAGTCTTTGACAAGCACGGCATAAACAGACCAAACACCTCCGTTTAGGAAGAGGAAAAAGGAGAGAAAAAACGGCATGTACTGCACACTCCTGGTCCTTATCACTCTTTTCTGTGATGCATAACATTAGAGCAACATTTTTAATCAGAATTAAGACTATCAGGTCTATTCAAAGCTTGATTTCAAAACCCAGAAAGGCCTAGATTTAGACCTACCATAGCTGAAAGGGGTGCTGCGTACATGCCAATGGTTAACGCAGCACATAAAACCCCAACAAACGTAGTTTGCAAACTTCCATGCATTGCTAGAAGAGTTATAGCAATCACCACTCCAAGAAAACCAGCATTCAATATGGCCACGAGCTTTGCCGTCTTAATCTGAATGAACATCAGGAATTTCGATTCAGCACACTTGCAAGAATCTCTAATCCAATCAAGCTTTCTAAGCTATGCAAAAAGTAACCTTATTGATGTGGAAAATCAATTTGAGAATTCAGCCTTTGAACATTTAAAAATGATGATTTTTGCTTTTTAATTAATTGTAGCAAGAGTACACGTTATCTAGCAAAACCATTGTGATTTTGATATGCAGGTATTCTTTTCAAATTTATTTCATAATTGATTACATCTTAATAGATAAAAGTATTTAATTAATCTCTCTATATATATTGATATATGCTGCTTTGTGAAATTACATGCAAGAAAAAATAGATCTCACAGGGGATTAAAACATGGGAACGATCATATATATGTTGCGAGCATGTAGGATTTGCACACATAATTTAACGATATGCATGACAGCCAATAAGTTAATATATTATTTATCACATCAATAATATTAATTTATTAATAGTTATTTAATTTCTCATTATATATTGATTAAGCAGTATAAATATTTCATGTAAACGAGAAACAAAAACAGAAAAACAATATTGGTGAGTTGAAGACAAAAAGGAAAGATCATAGACAACGTCACCTTCTTGTCCCTCGGAGCGTACATGAGAAAGAGAGTGACATAGGTGAGTTGAAAGATGGCGCCAGCACCATTCACGGTTACAACAAGAATATCTGGCTTGAGGATTCCATAGAATGTCCATAGACTTGTGCTCAGCAGTGTAGTTATGTATGGAGCCCCCTTGTAATTCTCTGTTGATTTCCTTTTCACCACCTTCCAAAAAGTCTTTCTGCAAAGGGAAATTAATCCATATATACTCTGGATTTATGTTTCTTTTTCTAGTCAAATTAGATGGCTACTCTATCTTAATCTTGCAGTGGGTGAGCTCATGACATGTAAAAGATTTGGATACACTAATTGTAAAGACCCAAGAAATAGATTCCTACAGAAACACATAATAAATATCCCATAGCTAAAAAGAAACAAACTTGGCTAATATGGTGTGGTTGATTGCTTTGTTCATTGACGAGATAAAAGAATTTCCTGAATTACACGCAACACTGAGAAATTCTATGGTAGTAAAAGATAACTATTGAAAGAAAGAAAAATAAAATGTACGGTTTTCAGCTTTGATTGGTCTAAAATTTGATTTTTTTTATATCTATCTTTTTCAAAGTAAAATATAGCTACTTCTAAGCATCATAAGATTTTCCGAGTCGGTACTCCGTCAAATTCAGTATTAATTACTCTTCTTTAAGTCCCGTGTTTATGTTTTTTGGAATATTATAAAAGCCACCTTCAGATTTTCCTCTGCAATTTGAACTAATATCTCCATATTACAGCACTGATTAGCTAGTGATGCCGATTAGAATCGCTTCCTAATTATTTTTGGCAAGCCGATTACAAGGAGGAGATTATATTTGACACTAGGTGGTCCACATTAGATTCCATTTTCTAACCAGAAACCTGTAGATATTTTTAGAATGTGAGGACCAGACACATAGCTAAGTCATGATTAAAGGTAAGGCCATTATTAGTCTTTGCTAATGATATTTAAAACTATATAGCCAATGACTATATGACTCCAACATCGGCACCTTCATCCATAATGGGTTGAGGCTAGAGCCTTCTTAATGATCAAGGCCACAAATGGTAATTAATTAACTCTCTTGTAAGCAGTACTCCTGTTTACATGGAAAATTAAGGAAAGCTTTTATCTACAAATCTGAAGATACGCAGTAGCAAGAGTGTTAAAAGAAGAAAGTAGCTAGGCAATTGACAGAAGCACTAAACCACACCAAATTAACCTAATAAGTCCCAGCACATGAAAAAAGGCTTATAATTGCAAAATCTTTTTTTGAAGAATTAAAGCAAAATTTGCATTAATCAACTCAACAACTGGCGCAATGTAATTTTCACTGGTCAGGCGCGTCAATTTAGTGTACGTAGTTAAGAAAATCCGTACAGTAAAACCAAATCCTACACACATCAAGCTACCTGCTTACTTCAACATATTCCATGTTTTAATAAACAGTGAAGCCACCATTGTTTTTCATGGTTTAAAGATACTTACATGGGAGATGTGAAAACCAGTAGAGAGATGATATTACCTGCAAAGAGAAAGTAAATGGCTGAAAACCCATGAAGCTGAAGTGGAAATAATAACCATTAGAGAGGAGAGGAGAGGAAACTAACCAATGATGCCGATAAAGAAGCTTATTTTAGCCATGACTAGGGCAGTGTAAGCTGGAAAGGTTGTTGAAGGAATGAAGAGAGACAAGGAGAAAATGTGGTTGATGAATATAAGGTGGATATATTTCTACCTTTGATTAACTGCACTATCTTGACTTTAACTGTTAATCTCAAGAATCTTGCCACGTTTTCAGCCAATGAAAATTTTCCCTTTAGTTTTTGGAAATAAAGGACAAATAAATTAATCTTTCAAGATATATAAGAAGACAAGGGTAATGAGCTCGAGTTGCAGTATACAATATTGTGACAATAATGCATGGGGACCAACCCCGTCCTCCTTCTTCTTCTTTTTCACGAACATGATTTACATGTTTTTTTTTGCGATTTGTGACCTAAATTGGATGCTTTTGTCGTAATCTTTAAGTCGAGTATCTTATGTGAAAATGAAATAGTTTAGTGCTTCGGTAATATTACCTAATCCTTCTAGAAAAAATATGTCGACGGGGTTAATTCAATTCATAAGCTTAATTAACTTATCGGATAATTACCACTAAATATTGCTCCACGTAAGAGTGACGTCTCTGTAAAATAGGGACAGTCAATTCCCAATCTTCTATTTTTATTGTCATCTCTGTGACAACACGAAAAGAAAAGATCCAGGCCATGGAAGAGCCGAGGTGATCAGACCGGAGACAGCCTTTGTCATCCTAGGTGGCTTCCTGTAGAACTCTTTATTAATATTTTTCATCACATTTTATAAAATCAAAGAGAGGCAGATCGATATGCATGCTGATCTTGGGAAATATTCGTGTAATTCTGTGCAAGAAATTTTCGATTCTCACTTTTCTTTTATAATAATCATCGACAAAATACAAAGACATTTTCGATTCTCCCTTGAGATCAACCTGGGACATTGTCTACTCCTACCTAAGAGCATGAGACCATATAATTGTTATTGAGATTTAGCTTCATTATTGATAGAAAAAAGCAAACAAAGTGATATACGCCACTTGCATGATATACACACAAAAAAACACGTAGCCTATATATACAGTGAGTCTCTTTCATGCCATTCTCTTCAGTTTTCTTACGCTAAACATGCTATGAGGTGTCCTTTTACAAGGGAAGGAGTGTTGGTCTCTTGTCTTGTTTGTGCAAATCAGTCAATTGATTAATTACTGGAGGAAAATTTTGACGGTTGATTTTTACACTATAATCATGGGAAAGTAGCTGCGAGCGGCTCCAATTCAACAAGATTTCTTATTAAAATTTTCAAATCATCATCGAGTTTTGTGAGAATTACACTTGTTAATGGAGTTTTGAAAACTTATAGTTTGAATCATTAAATTTTGGCGTGCATATGTTATATTATGTACTTGATGTGCTCACAAAAATCAGCAAAAATTATCTAATTATTTATAGATTTATTATTATTTTTCATTGAATAACTAATGAGCCTTGCATTTGTATATCTAACCTCATGCATTGAATCTCATAAAAAATCTAAAGTTAAACATGCTTTAGTTAGAGCAGCATGATATGTGATTTTTTGAGAATTATTATCTATCCTAACTCACACGCAAGTATGTAAATCTTGAATTGATATATATATATATATAGAGTTTACCTCTGGAAAGTGGTTATTTGGCCATTAATCACATCCCAAAATGTATCCACGTCATTAAAAAAAAAAGCTAAAAACCATTATATTAAATGTTATAAATTTACTATTTTATTCTTTAACGGCTACCTTAATATTAAAATTTACCTGTTTATAATATTAAAAAATATAATTTAATTTGTTAGATTTTAAATTTATTTTTTAAAAATTATTAATTTAAGTTATATAATTTTCAGGACAGTTAAAATTTTATATAATTATTAATTTTATAATCTATAAAATTAATTAAAATATTCATAAACAAGCTTAGATATCCTATCAATTAAAAAAAAAAATAGCAACACTTAATTATCATTAAAAAAAAAAGTCCTTACAATTCTCTGCCACCCCAGCTCACGTCTCTATAGTCTGCACTCTTAACTCTTTAGTAGCTTTTCGCAATTGTCTGCGGTCCAAACCAAAAGTCTTGTAAGAACAAAAAAGGACAACCTTCTCTTTTGTTTTTTACTTTCTCTCATGACAACAATCAACGCAGATATCTCCTGCCTCTGTAATTATTGGCTTTTTTCGTGGGTTGCTCATCAGATTGGTGATGGTGCTTCGATCGACTGTTAGGTTTTATGAATTTCTCTAGAAGTAGGATAAGAGATGGATTTATGGAGAATTAAATAAATGATTGAGAATTTTTCTAGGAAATTAATAACTGAAGAGAGAGACATTATGTTTGAATGAGAATAAATTTATAATATATGTTTTTTTGTTTGAGTTTCTATATGTTATATATAATTAGAGGGAAAGTATAATTTTAACGAAAATATAAGATATTAAAAATATTTTTTCCTTGTCTATAAAAACACATAAGAAAAATAGATGGCTTATAACCATTAGTATTAAACTTCGGCTCCCTTGGTGTATTTATTAAAATAAAAAAAAAATCCTACTATTCATGACTTGATTTGGAATGAGTTTCAAGTTGAATTAGAAAAGATTTTGATCTTATTATATATGTTTTTAATGATTTAGTTGATCTGGTAAAATTTGGTCTAAACTTAATTGAGTCATCTCTAAAAATTTAAAATATTTATATAAAAAAATTAATTTTAATAAAATTAATTGTCCTAAATTAATAAGAATGACTTACAAGTCATCGATGATCCAAATTCCAAATCCTTTTCCAAGTTTCCAAAACTAGAGCTAGAAACTATACTTTTAATGTCTTATTGACAGAGCCATGAAAATCTTTCAATTTATTCTTCCAATATTTAATTAGATAGGACAAATTCTCCACAACAAGGTCTATAACTATATATATATATAAACTAAGCCCTCCGCCATATGAAAATCTCAAAAAAATAAAATAAAAAATAATAATGTATGTGATTTAGCCATTTGAAATTTAGATCAACTTTCATCAATAAAAAAACTAGGCCCTCCGCCATCGAATTTTACAACAACATATACAGTATTTGCACTCCTTGAGCATGGTATTTGTTAATATTCACCTGTAAGAAGTTCAAAATATCTAGTATTTCTTTGTGCATAAACATTTACAGTTAAACTTCTATGAATTAACATCTTTGAGACCATGAAAATTTATTAATTAATCAAGATATTACTTAATTAATAAATTAATAAATTATATATTAGTTAATAAAAAATCAGTTTATCAAGGTTTTTTTTTATTTTTTATTCAAATCAGCTTATCTATATATTATTGTTGATTTTATCAAAATCTTTTAAAGAGTTGTGAAATTGGTATACTAAATTCAAAGAAAGTAAATATTATAGATGTAATGAATCTCACAATCTCAACTTAGACAATAGATAATTAAGCAAGTATAATTACAAATTATTTTTTATTTTTGATATTATAAAATTAGATCTATACATCATGTGAGTTTAAGCCAACACTTAAATGATATGATATAGGCTTTCAACAATTACATGTTTTAATTAAAAAATTAAAATATCATGATATAATATTGAATATCTTTGAACCACGAGGCAACACTAGACTTATTGAGTAACAAATAAATTATTAATAACATCATCAGAAATGACAAAAAAAAAATTAAAGATAATAATTTTGTACAAGAGTATGTCTCCCACAAAAATACATTCATAACAATAATCACATTGCATAATTTTCTATAATAGCACAAGAACAATACATTAGAACTTCTTTTATTATTGAGTTAATTTGAATTAATTATTTTTATTATAACAACATTGTTTTTTATTCTAAAAAAACTTATTTTTATATCGGCTTGGATAAGTTTAGTCAAGTGACTCGAATAATTAAAAACTTGATAAAGTCAATTCTTTTTTTAATTTAATTTAAAACTAAGCTTCAATCATGTTTTGAATAGCATGTTTTTCTAATTATTTTATTAGTGGGGTTGGATTTAATAACTATAAAATGATTACAGTGAAAACCTGGTAACCGATCTTATATGGCCCATCAATGCTCAAACCTATCAAGCTCAATCCATTATCAGCCGACACCCCGACCCCGCGCACAGTCACTCGCTTAATAAGCACGCTAGTCTAACATGCGCCACGGAGTTAGCTGCACCTTCGCTAAATTTTAATTTAATTAACCGCTAAAAGAAACAAATACAAAACCGAAAAAGAAAAATCATTATTATTAGATTAGATCGATGCAAACCCTATAAAAACGCTAAATTTAATCAATCTCTTACTCTTTATTCTCTTAAAAAATGTTCAAAAAGTAAGCTCTCTTCTCTTCGTATCTCTCACTCATGTTATTTCATTTCCTGGATTTTATTTTGATTTTTTTTTCTTATATTTTGTTAGGTTTTCAAGTGATGAAGTATCGTCACAAAACCAAGTGAAAGCATCAGTTCAACGAAAAATTCGACAAAGCATTGCTGATGAGGTTCTAAATTAAACAAGATGAAAACCCTTTTTTTTTTCCGGTTTTGTTTAGAATTTTCTTAAAAGTTTGATTTTTTTGTGGCAGTACCCTGGGCTTGAACCAGTATTGGATGATTTGCTTCCAAAGAAATCCCCTTTAATTGTTGTTAAATGGTAATATTATTGTTAATTTTGTGAGATGACTGATGGGTTTTTGTTGTTTTTAATTTTTATTGTGATTGGGATGCAGTCAGAATCATTTGAATCTGGTGGTGGTGAATAACGTGCCATTGTTTTTTAATATAAGGGATGGACCTTACATGCCTACTCTACGACTTCTTCATCAATGTAAGTAAATGTGTTTGTTTCTTTGTCTGACATAGCATTGTAATGGTGTTATTAGCGTGTGCCGTTTGTTTTTAGGTTTGGAATTGATTGATTAATGTAGTCAATGTTATAGTCATGTGGAAATGATGAGGAGAAAATGTTGCATGCGGATGAAAAACGCGATTATTTAAAACACAAGGTGGTGTTGTTTTTGAATATGGATAATGGTGCATGTGTGCTTTCTTGATATGTTTTGATTTCCTTTGCCATTGCTGATTTGAATGTATCAGTAAACATAAATTTGGTTCAGTTCTGCTCTTAACGACCGCCGGTTTTATTGTGAGATTTATTTGGGAAGAACTGGATAGTTTTATTCATGCATCAGTTTTAAATGTTTATAGGATACAAGTAGTTGTGTTGTTTCGAATCAGAATGGGAGTTTTATCTATTTGTCGCTTTGCTTGTGGTAGAGGATCTTTGGATTGTCTGTAGGAAAAGAAAAATTGGGCTTTTGGATATAGGTTTTATGATGCTTAATTCTTAATTGTATTTCATCTAATTTTTCTAATGGGAAGGCCTGTCAAATGCTTCTTACTTCTTGTTTGTTTGGAAGTTGAAATCTCGATTTACTTAGTTTGGATGTGTTACTGGTTCCACAGATCCAAACATAATGAAAAAATTGCAAGTTGACAGGGGTGCCATAAAATTCGTCCTTTCTGGTGCTAACATAATGTGTCCTGGACTTACATCTCCCGGCGGTGCATTAGATGATGAAGTAGATGCAGAAACTCCTGTGGTATGGATTGAATTGTATTGTACTTAGAATGTCTATTCCTGATCAATTCTTTTCATACATCATGGCATTTATGGTTTCCTTTTCTGTTCTGATATGCTGCATAGGAGTTTTGTTTATTCTCTGCTTTTCCTTGATTAAAATGTTTTTATACATTCATGATGTGTCAAACTGAATGCTTCCAGGCTATAATGGCTGAAGGAAAGCAACATGCTCTCGCTATTGGCTTTACAAAAATGTCAGCAAAAGACATGTGAGTTATTCTCTAACTCACTGAAACTTTGTATTTCAATTTTGCGGGCGGTGAAATGGGAGACGGGCTCAGATGGTGGCAGAGCATTTTTCCCAGCTCTAGTAGACTGATGAAGCAATTCACACCATACTACCATAGCATAATTTTATAGTTTCCATCATAAATAAAATAAAACACGTGCACAAGAGATTGGTAAATCAACACTGATTCTATGGTCTGTTGCCTTTGCGATTGGTTTATGTTATAACCAGAAGCATTTCTTTGATTTACAGAAAGACAATCAACAAGGGAATTGGTGTGGACAACATGCATTATCTCAATGATGGCCTTTGGAAGGTAGGTCATCAAAAAATCTTTAACTCCTTGTTCTGCCATGTGCCTTGTTGATTTGGTTTTATGTTAATAAAATAGTAGGATTTTTTTTTTTAAGAAGTGCTATTAAGATGGTCAGTATTGCTGGGAGCATTTCATCCTTTTTGAACATGATGTGTAAGCTACAAAAAATTAATGTCATGGAACAAACCTTAGGATTCCTGCATCCTGCATCACTTGTTGGGCTTGTAATTAAATGTTATGAACAAATAAATGTACCTTGTGCAGTTAAGGATATATTGGTAGCATCACCTTTTCAAATGGAGTGATATTATCTTGTGATTTTCAAAACTGCTTTTTTGAAGAACCAATAGATTAGCATGATGTAGTTGATAATAGGAACAAATGTAATCATTTTTACTAGTTGCATTATGCAGATGGAGCGTTTGGATTGAGGTTTTCTCCCAGAAAAACTGCAGTGTTGTCGTTTATACAAGACAGAGCATATATTATTTGCCACGACGCGGCTACGCAGATGTCCTGTCTCCTGATGTTGCTAAAGTAGTTTGTGTGAAGTTTTCTTTGCTCGTTGTCACCTTTTTTCCCTGTACACAACAGAAATTGATTTTACCATGTAGATCTACCGTTTAATGAGTCGATCATGGATATTACTTTTCGCAGATATCTTGAGAACAGTGGTGGCTATATCTGACTTTCTCCTGAGTGACTAGTTTGCATGTTAAACCAATCAGATGGATGCCATTGAAGTAAGGCCAAATGAGGACTGAGACTTCATTACCAAAATTTCTTGTTCGAACCGAAAATTAGACATTTTTGAGGTCTCAAATCTAATGGTTCTTTTAATAGAATGGGAAAAAAAAGATAAAAGAGTAAGGTTTCCTTCAACAGTCTCGTGCTGAAACATTGACTTCACCCTCCTGCTTAGCAACAGTAGCAGTAGACAATGAATGAATAATCATGCGACTAATACTCTGATTCGATCATGTATCAAGTTCTGTTGATAGAAAAAAAAAAGGATTCCTGATCAGTAGAGAAATCCATTTACAACCTTGAAGTGACATGCTTGTCATAATTTTGTTTGAACGGGAAGATCAGCACTCGAGAGGATGGCATTTTCGACTTGTAAGAAATCAGTGAATTTGCATCAAGCCAGTAAGTCAGAATTACAGATTGATTCATCAAGCCAGGCTAAGTCTTGCAACTATGTGTGATATAATGGAGACATGTTGAAGTTGGTGACGGTAAGGGAAGTGATTTCGAGTTCGGGGAGTGGCCAGCGCACCATTGGAAGCCTAAGAGAAAGGAGGGAGGCTGTCATATTTACGAGCCAAGCGTTAACATAATTTGTGCTCTTCGCGAGAAGAGGAATACGTGGAAGAGATGATGGTTAGCACGTGGTATTCCTTATAATTTTTATTTCAATTTAATGATTACAAAAATAAATTTTGGATCTGTCAAAACAATATATTCCACAATTATACCAAAGATAAAGAATAAGGCAGTCTATTAATTATTATTTAAAAAAAAATGCGGTATGGGATGAAGAATTTACAGAGTGGAAATACACATCCGGGTAAATATATAGTTGAAACTCTACCTTTTTATATTTTTAATATTTTCTTCAATTTAATTCACTTAAAGAAGAATTGTTTAAATTTACGTGTCTTTATTGAGGCCTTGCAATATATTAATAACAATGATTAATTTGGCATTACCATATATTTATTATATATTTTTACACAAACAATAAAATTACTATATATAAATTTTATTTTTACACAAAAAAATTAAATAATTACTATATATAAATTGTGAATTCCAATATCATATATTTATATTCAATTGGTATATAATTACAGTAAATATTTCTTCGTAAAAATATTTCTTAATGAATATGTTATCAGCTTATTTATATAAAATATTTTCTATATAAAACAAACCCAATACTAAAAAAAATTCCCAACATTACATTATACATGTGATTTTTCTTTTATTAGAGAATTTTAATTTCTGTAAACATTATAATAAAATTAGCATTATTTGTCAACTTGGGTTGGGCCCAGTTAAATCAAAACCCTGTTAAGACTTAAGATCACAAACTTTGGTACCACGTGTACGGTTTGTGATGCATCTGCATAAAAAACAATAGACCTCACCCACACACATAAGCCTAACTATATAGCTCATTAAAAACCCTAGCTTCATTTTGTGTTCTCCTTTCCAGCTCCCATCAGCAGCACCACTAGCAGTAGCGGCGGGTAGCGTCGAAGCTTCAACAATGGTGCCTCTCTTCCCTCTACTTCTTTCTCCTTACGAATATGCTTATCTACACGTATTTAAATGCCTATGTTTTAGTTATTGATATATTTTGTTTTTCATTTCTAAGGGGATAGATTTGAAAGCAGGAGGTAAGTCCAAGAAAACCAAACGTACAGCTCCGAAGTCGGATGATATCTATCTTAAGCTCCTTGTTAAGGTTAGTTTTGAGAAACCCTTTTTTTTTCTATAATGTTTGGATCTTTTTGTGTATATAGTTGTTTTTGTTACAGATAGACATAAAAAAACCATGTTTGTTTTGCTATAAAGTTTTGAGTCTTTTAATGGTTTTGGTCGTATTGGTTATACTTAGGCTTTTAGACCCCCTTTTATTTTTCTGACCACGCACTTTTTTTTTAAGATATAATTTTTGAGAGTGCATTGTTATGTATAATGTGTTGTGTTCTTGATTGATTTGAGACTGGTTTCTTTATTAGTTGTACCGGTTTCTTGTAAGGAGAACTCAGAGCAAGTTCAATGCTGTGATACTGAAGAGGCTTTTTATGAGAGTGCATTGTTATGTATAATGTGTTGTGTTCTTGATTGATTTGAGACTGGTTTCTTTATTAGTTGTACCGGTTTCTTGTGAGGAGAACTCAGAGCAAGTTCAATGCTGTGATACTGAAGAGGCTTTTTATGAGCAAGATTAACAAGGCCCCACTCTCTCTTTCAAGGCTTATTACGTACACAAAGGGAAAGGTTAGATTAGAATTTTTGCTTGTAAAGTTTGGATCTCGATCGTGTGGTTTTATATGGTGGTTGTTTTTGCGGTGGTTTTTTCTTAAACTGTTTGTTTCATCTACAGGAGGGCAAGATTGCTGTGGTCGTGGGAACAGTAACTGATGATATTCGAGTTTATGAGGTGCCTGCATTGAAGGTCACTGCTTTGAGGTTTACAGAGACAGCTAGGGCCAGGATTGAGAAGGCAGGAGGAGAGTGCTTGACATTCGATCAGCTTGCATTGAGAGCTCCATTGGGACAGAACACAGTATGTAATCCTTTCAGTTGTCGGGGTTTTTTTTTTCTGAACTTCAGCTTATTCATTATGTTGGTTGATGGATTGATCTTAGTTTAGCTGATTCTGTGGTTCTGATTTTCTTGAAAGCTATCTGAAATTTATTACTGTTTTTGGGTCCATACTAAATATGCTTTTAATGTTATAATAATACCTTCAGTATAGGTTTCTTTGCTTGTATGACATTAATGGGATTGTATTAAATGTTTGTGATGAGCCTAAATGCCTGTAGTTATTGGCGCAAATGATGGCAAATTTCCAAGAACATCTAAGGAACCGAGCTTTATAATAGGACTCATATTTGTCTTGATGCATGAATCTTGGTAAATTAGTATTAAATCGTTGTCATTCTCTTTTGATTGATGTACTTGATTTTATATAGCAATGCAATCATGATATATGAAAAAGAAGAGGTCCAGAGAACACACACAAGTTGTGCTATCGTTTTCTCTGCTTTGATTTTGTTAATCACCATAGATTCATTACTCTACTAGATCTAGGGACTCCAGAATCCTTAGGCATAGGTTTTATTCCCACATTTTATCTATCTCTTTTAGGTGCGTGTCTTTTTTCAAAATGTTTTATTTGTTCAATACGATAAATGTTTTAGTGCACTTTGTCATGAAATGCAAAATTCAATTTAGTTCTGTATGGTACTTTCTGGTTTCTTTAGTTTGGAGTTTATGTTTCTCCTAACAAGATATGCATAGTTCCACATGCTGTATCTTCTCTAACTTCTTGGTATCGAAAATGGCTGCCATTTTCAGAATTCATGCAACTTGTATGAATTAATGAATATTATTCTTGTTTTGGATGTTTGCTTATTCTTTTTTTTTTTAGGTTCTCCTCAGAGGCCCAAAGAATGCTCGTGAAGCTGTCAAACATTTTGGCCGAGCTCCTGGTGTGCCACACAGCCATACCAAACCATATGTTCGTGCAAAGGGAAGGAAGTTTGAGAAAGCTAGAGGAAAGAGGAACAGCAAGGGCTTCAGGGTTTAATTTTATTGTAGTGATAAATTGTGAGGCAGTTTGGTTTGATTTTGACTCTCTGTGCTCCAATTTTTGTTCAACTTTAGGTTTCTAAAGATCTTGTTCATTTTATTTCCATTTGGGTTATTGATTAATCCGCATGGATTTTTTAATGCTCAGATATCATACTTGGTTATGCGTAATGAATTATTGAAGATCTCAATTTCTCCCGCAAATATTTAAGTAGAACTTATGGAATCCCAAAGTTGCATTTTTTTACTAGATCTGTCAGCTAAAAGTTGAACAAAAACCTCTGATGGAGCTACTCACAGCGAGCATGAAGCAAGTGTTTGAGTTTCACCTTCATCTTGTTGCAAAGGTTTGTTGTTCAAGCCCATGGACGTGTTTTCTCGGATGTGCTTATTAGGTTCGATCTGATGGCTGATGGAGTGGATTTCACATTTTGCTATAATGTGAATCGATTTCTTAATGGACAGACGGCTGAAGCTAGCTTGTTTGAACTTTGGTATTTCTAAGTCATCTGTCAGTAGGGATGAGGAATGCAGGCTTCATTTTTCTTCCATCTTGTTTTGAAAAGTGGCAGAAGACAGTAATGGACGAGTGTTGGCTTCAAATTAGGGCTCTCTTGAGGAAAGTTGTTTTTTTTTTTTAAAATGAATTTCAGGGAAAATGAATTTTTAGAAAGTTTGGGGAAAAATAAATTTTTAAAAAGTAAATTATTTTTTGATATTTGGTAGTGATATAGAAAATGAACTGGAAAATATTTTTTAGTATTTGGTTATGTTATGAAAAATAAATTGGAAAATAATTTATTAATATTTTATTTTTCTCAAGTTTATTAGAATAATGAGGAACAAATCTTACAAATTAAAAAGTTGAATACTAATAAAATTGAAAAAAAATTAATTTCATCAATTATCTCAAATAAAATAAATAATAATCAAAATAATAAAGATTAAATCTAAAAAAAAAATAAAGAAATTAAAATTATAATAATTAACATTTTATAAAATATTTCAAATAAAATAAGTAATAATAAAAAAAATGATAACCAAATTTGATAAATAAAAAATTTTAATAAAAAATAATAGGAGAAAAGCAAATAACAATTATAAAAATGAGGACCAAAGTTAATATAAAAATTAAATTTTAAGAAAAAAAAATTGAAAAAAAAATATTCAAAACAAAATATATATAGGAATCAAAAGTTTGAAGATCAAATTTGATATAATCAGCAAATAATGACATTTTTAAATTTTTCACAACTTCCGAAAAGTGTTTTTCTCTTAAATTTTTTAGGAAAATACTTTCCTGAAAATCAACCCAAATTTTCCTTTGAATGTAAAGTGTTTTCCGTTTACCAACTTTCTTAACAGCAAACAAATACAAAAAATTTTGGAAAATGATTTTACAGAAAACACTTTCTGGAAAACAAATATAAGAAAGTTTGGAAAGTGTTTTCTCGGAAACCACTTTCTAAAAAACAAACACGGTTAAAAAGGAAAACACTTTCCTGAAAACTAAGCTAAATTTTTCTTTAATTGAAAAATATTTTTCGTTGACTAAAAAGTATTTTTCATTATCTGGAAAATATTTTTTATTAATTAGAAAGTGTTTTCCGTTGACTAACTTTTTTTATGACAAACAAACATAAAAAAATTTAAAAAGTAATTTTCTAGAAACTAATTTTCGGAAACAAAGATGCCCAAAGCTTTCACAGATTTCTACTCCCAGAGCAGAAGAAAGAAAATCTTCAATTTAATTACTGAAACCAGCATGTAAATGAAATGGCAAGTCTGGTCTGTTCGAAAAAATATTTTAAGTGATCATAGGCTTTGAATTAAGTGATAACATGAAGTATTCATAATATTTTATCAAAGATTGTAGACTTTTTATAATTGAAAGCACAAAGATTTCTAAACAATTACTTCAACACCTCATCAATCATTACAGTAATTATGCATCATATTAATTCTATGCAGCGTTTATATGCTTGACATATTGAAATTATATTACAATTACAACTACCAGTCGAATCCAAATAAACAAGTTGCAATAGAGCAAAGTTTGTCTAGTTTGATAAACCACTGTTTTGGAACCAAATTCTCATATTAAAGCCAAACTACAAAGCTTCCAGGGTTGTAGAATATGGTTCTGGACACATTCTTAAGAGGTAATAAAACAGATCAGTATTTGCTAATGTAGTCATAAATGTGATTGCTGATCTCCTCAGCCTTCTCTTGGTTAATGAAATGACCAACTCCTTCCATCACAACAATTTCCTCCAATAAGGGCACATAGTGCTTGAATCCACCACTATTGACAAACTCCTTCATCCCTGGATTAGTATAGACCATGTCAAGATCTCCCACCACAAACTTTACGGGCACGTTCACTGGTGCCCCAGTCCATGATGCTGTGAGCTCCCAGTTCCTGAAATAATTAGATTGTAACTATTAGGGCAGGATATTGAGGCTTATATTTGGTTCATTTTCCAATAAGGAAGTGAAAAGAACATACAAATCTAGAGCTCTGTAGTAGTTCAACCCTCCAGTGAACCCTTTCTGGCTATATTTCGTGGCATAGAAAGAAAGGTCTGCTTCTGAGAGCCAAGATGGCATGGTAACTGGTTCCTCTGGATAGATTCCGAATGGATTTTCTTTCGGCAAGCAAAGGGGACCTGGTTTGCGATCAGTCAAGATTTTCTTTAGTACTTCTTCAGTTCCAGCACGTGCAATCTCATCTTCGACCACCCCTGGTTCCTACCACATTAAATAGCCAGTCTTTTTGCTTCAGTTCATAATAAAAAGCATTCTTACCGAATTGACTTGCAGATAAATATCAACCATCGGACTTATGAGAATCACTAGTGAAATCCTCTAAATTCATTCAATGCATGAGATTTTCCAGAAAGTGCAGTCGGTGAGAATATTTTGAAGGTTTACCATTGATCCTTTTTAAATGTCAATAGTATGGGAACTTTGAACTTTCATACACCAGATTTAAACAAACAGTTGCCAAAATCGAGATGTTAGAATCCAAAAATTTGCCATTACCAAAATCTTCAGCTTGCTTTGGAGCTGTTAGATACCATAAACACAAGAAATTTGGAAGCATGCTCCAAAGATATGATCATTCAAGGCTATAGCATGCTTTATACGCTAAAGAAAAAACAAACCTGGAATCTGCACATGTAATAGTCTTCTCCAAAGACAAGTTTCATGCTCTCCACTGGCTTCATCTTGGGATTTCTTGGCCTGTATGGAACACTAAGGCAGACATATGCCTTCACTCTATCAGGCCTGAACAAGCACAAGTACCATCCAATAAGAGCACCCCAGTCATGTGCAACAAGAAACACTTTCTCCACCCCAAGATAGTCAATAAGTGCAATAAGGTCACCAACAATATGAAGACAAGAATAGCTAGAGATTGATGCTGGAGCTTCAGTGTCACCATAGCCCCTAAGATCTGGTGCAACAGCTTGGTAGCCCAGGGAACTTAATGCAAGAATCTGATGGCGCCAGGAGTACCAAAGCTCTGGAAATCCATGGAGGAATAGCACAACAGGACCTTGGCCTTTCTCAGCTATGTGCATGTCAATGCCATTCACTTTCACCATTCTGTGGCTTATCCCGTCCATCTCTCTACTTCTCTAACCTCTACAGATCTTTTTTCTCTTCTTTTTTAAACCCTACCTGAGATCTCTTGATGGCATGGTCTGTTTCATATATAGAATGCTTTCAAATTTAAGAGGGTTGGTGAGCATCACAGAATAATAAATGGTAGTAAATGAGAGGCTGGGTGATGATACCAGATTTTAAATTTTAGTTCAAGCGCTAGGCATTCCAAAATACTGAGTTTTGTCCATTCTAGAGTTCAACATAAATGCTAACAACAAATGAGCTTAGTTGTTTTCACAATTTTCTCATATAGGAGCTGGGATAGTTACTAAGCAGTCATTAATTACTTGGATTGTACATTTTACACACGCCAGCATGAATGATATCATTTTGGTTGGTTAATGGTATCTTCTCATTCATCAAATTAAACCTTATTCTTATATTATTCATTAAAATATTGTTTTAAGGTGGTATTTCTTTGGTGGAAAGTGGTTTTCTAGAAATCAATTTTCAAACTTTCTAGTATTTGTTTGTCATTGAAAAAGTTGATCAACAAAAAACACTTTCCAGTGAAAAAAAAATTTGGCTTAGTTTTCAGGAAAGTGTTTTCCTGAAAAATTTAGACGGAAAACACTTTTTGAAAGTTGTGAAAAATTTAAAAATATCATATTATTGGTTGATTATATCAAATTTGGTCCTCAAAACTTTTGATTGTTATATATATTTTATTTTGAATATTTATTTTTCAATTTCATCTCTTAGAATTTAATTTTTATATTAAACTTTGGTCCATATTTTTATAATTGTTATTTGTTTTTCCCTTATCATTTTTAATTGAATTTTTTAATCTATCAAATTTGATTCTCATTCTTTTTTATTGGTACTTATTTTATTTAAAATAATTTATGAAATGGTTATTATTATTATTTTAATTTTTTTATCCTTTAATTTTTTTTATTTGTTAGATTTGATCTCTATTATTTTGATTATTATTTATTTTATTTGAGATAAATTATTAAATTATATATTTTTTTTCAATTTCATTCTCATTCAACTTTTTAATTTGTAAGATTTGTTCCTCATTATTTTAATAAACTTTAAAAAAAAAATATTAATAAGTTATTTTTCAGCTCATTTTCCATGACATAAGCAAACATTGAAAATTGTTTTCCAACTTATTTTCTATTACACTAACAAACATCGAAAAATAATTCACTTTCTAGGAATTCACTTTCCAGAAAGAAACTACTTTCCAGAAAATAAACGAGGTCTAATACTTTTTTGGGACATAAAAGATAAAAAAAGAGTAAAAATATAAAAGACATGTGTCTTGTACTTTATGTTTTGAAAACTGTCCTCGAGAAAAAAATCATTTTATATCTATCTCGTTCTCTTTCGATCTTTGTTATATTTGTCTTTTCTATTCTAAAATACTAACCAAATGTAATCTGATTAAGCTAATCATTAGATTTAGTGACTTTATCAACATGACTAACTAAGAATATAGCCTGGCACAACTTTGAACACATGTTAAAAACATGGTGTTAGCTATAGATCAAAGACTTCACACATAACCAAGGCTGAGTT